CCGCGCAGCCGGCGTCGCGACGCCGCCACCGTCTGCTCGATTTAACCTGCGCCTGCAATCCGCGTCAATACGCTCCGGCAACTAGTCGCGAGGCTGCTGCACTCGCGACAACCTGCACGCGTTCGACTCGTTCTCGCGATTTTTCGTTCGATTTACTTTTTTTATTTCGACCCTTGTTATCGCGTCTCTAACGAACGCGATTTCTCGTTCGATTTGCTTTTGTATTTCTCCCTTGTTATCGCGTCTCTGATACACGCGTTCTTGCATAGCTACGCTCGATCTGAATTTAACATTTCTGCATGTAGATATATTACGTAAACAGGTGTTTCATGAAATTGTATTTTGTGAAACATGTTTCGTTAATGACCACGTAATTGAAATCGTATGTTACCTATCGCAATTGTCATCTATTCAAATAATTTTTTGAGATAAAGAAAACTTGTTACCTGTCTAAGCCTAATATACTATAACTGATCATCTGGTAGCTTGTAACCTAATCTACATGTATTACAAAACGAAATACAACCTAAAAAAAACCGGACATTAGTAGACTTAACATAACTCCATCTGATAAAACTGGATCTAATTTATCCTACTTTCTTATCCGTAGATTTAATCTGAACATATCTATGAGAAAAGGAAATAAATTCTTGGAAATTCGTGAAATATGCAAATTCGTAATAACTCATAGTAACATAATAATTATGCATATTTATGATAAAGTATATTTGCGCAGCGTTGTTATAGGTGTCCGCGTAAAAGTATACTTTAGCTTCAAATAAAAGGAGAATAAACTTGGAATTCCTCGGAACGCAGAATAAATCGTAGTTTCCGGATACGGAAATAGCGGTCGAAACGCAACGCGTTGAATGGTCAAAGGTGCTGTTGCGATGCCCGTAAAAACAAGAGAAAGAAGAATGACGGAAGACGGAAAAATCGATCCGTAGAAGTGGAAAAGACGAAGGACAGGAACGAAGAAGCGTGATCTGTCTGAACGCATTGAGATGCAAATACGTGCCGGTAGCAGTCGTGATTTACGAGGGACAGACGTGTCCATACACGATCGGGTCAGAAAGAACGAAAGTTTCAGACTCGAAGGCGTTCGAGGGACAAGCAGATACGATCTGCCCGGAACCGTCAAAATGAGCAAGGGATTTTATGCGATGGAGTTGGTCCTTTGGACCGGTTATACGATTTCCCCGATCGGTAGCTCTTCTACGAAAATATGCGGAAACTATTCTGAATTCGGAAATTATTCGAACGCTTTTACTTCTCAAAATTTGTGAAACCAAAATAAAAAGATCATGAATTTAGTTACCAACCTAATCAGCTATTATGTTTTTTTATAAACTTTCGTCGAATTGAAAATTTCAGTCTTTGAAAAGTTTTTGGGTCAAACACAAATGCATACACGTCCGTAGAGTATAACATTCACATTTCGTGCATAGATATATCATTTATTATTATATATGTTAATAATGCATATAATTAGTAATGCAATGATCAAATGTCAAACGATGAATTTTCCGAGCAAGATCGTCGAAGAAAATTTCCATAATCGTTGAAAAGAAGTTTTTGCGTATAATCGTTGAAAAGAATTTTTCTTCTCGGTTCCCAGCTTATCGAAACGAAGGAGACGGTTGCATGCGTGCACATTGCAAGCGCCCGCACGTGTCCACGTGACGGAACGAATCGAAAATTTCAAAACAACCGGTATCGCCGCGTGAAAAGAACGTTATCGCGCGAGGAAATTTGCATATCTTTCCCGGCGACACCGAAAACCGTCCGTTTTCCCACGTTTTCCCATCGCGTCGTTCCGCTTTCATTGATCGACGCCGCTTATCGCGACGGAAGTTGAAAAGGTGCCGAAACGAGCCACGCGCAAATCGTGGCCCCGTTATCGTTCGCGTTATACCTCGTTCGTGTTCCTTCATGACTGGAAAGCTGCTGGAATTACAACGATTAACGCATTGTTATCGAATCCAAACGGCGATGCACGGAATGTAAACGACTCGGAGATTTGGGTCGCTGTCGGAGGTTCCGCTAAGTCGCTTCGTGTGGGGATAGATTAGCTTCTAGAAAAGTAAAGGGTTTGGAGGGAAGTGGGTCAGAAAGTTTCGCTTCATTTCCGCCATCGATCGACAAAAATTTATCACGTACGATCTTTTATCACTCGGGTTATAAATTTTCATTTCATATTGGATCTTCGATACTTACTTTGAGACCCAAGCACTAATTCTACATAGACTAGACATTTCTTATTACTCGAGGAACATGTTAACATGGTTTAATGTTTATACCATGCTTTAATGTTTTAACATAGATATATCATTTATTATTATATATGTTAATAATGCATATAATTAGTAATGCAATGATCAAATGTCAAACGATGAATTTTCCGAGCAAGATCGTCGAAGAAAATTTCCATAATCGTTGAAAAGAAGTTTTTGCGTATAATCGTTGAAAAGAATTTTTCTTCTCGGTTCCCAGCTTATCGAAACGAAGGAGACGGTTGCATGCGTGCACATTGCAAGCGCCCGCACGTGTCCACGTGACGGAACGAATCGAAAATTTCAAAACAACCGGTATCGCCGCGTGAAAAGAACGTTATCGCGCGAGGAAATTTGCATATCTTTCCCGGCGACACCGAAAACCGTCCGTTTTCCCACGTTTTCCCATCGCGTCGTTCCGCTTTCATTGATCGACGCCGCTTATCGCGACGGAAGTTGAAAAGGTGCCGAAACGAGCCACGCGCAAATCGTGGCCCCGTTATCGTTCGCGTTATACCTCGTTCGTGTTCCTTCATGACTGGAAAGCTGCTGGAATTACAACGATTAACGCATTGTTATCGAATCCAAACGGCGATGCACGGAATGTAAACGACTCGGAGATTTGGGTCGCTGTCGGAGGTTCCGCTAAGTCGCTTCGTGTGGGGATAGATTAGCTTCTAGAAAAGTAAAGGGTTTGGAGGGAAGTGGGTCAGAAAGTTTCGCTTCATTTCCGCCATCGATCGACAAAAATTTATCACGTACGATCTTTTATCACTCGGGTTATAAATTTTCATTTCATATTGGATCTTCGATACTTACTTTGAGACCCAAGCACTAATTCTACATAGACTAGACATTTCTTATTACTCGAGGAACATGTTAACATGGTTTAATGTTTATACCATGCTTTAATGTTTTAACACCTTGCCGTGCCATTTATTTATGAGGTGCGTCAGTCAAGACTAACCATTCAGGACTATAACATTAAAACGAACAAAGAAAATTAAAATGTTCTAAGTATTTTATATTCAGGGATCCTTGACAACGCAAATTATAGTTGGATCTAAAATTCAAGTTGAAGAGTATTCAAAATTTGAGTAACATTAATCACATTTGAGTTGTGAGTGCGTCACGAGTGAGCCTCGTCAAAGCACGGGAAGGGGTTAATGTTGTTGTAAACTTTATTGTCGTCTTCCAGAAAAGTGACACATTCTAGAGAGACTACACCTAGAGTTAAGACATCAACATTGTTGTTTCAACGCCCAGTTAAAATCGGCTCGGATGATCGAAATAACGGTATCCACAATGTAGTAACGCGTGCGAGCAGATTAATCGAACAATTAGCATTTCATCTCGAGCTACAACGAGGAGAGTTACGGAAGTTCTTGTTGGACGTTTTTCTCGTGTTGCAAGATTCCCTCATATTTTGGAGCGTTTCCAACTGCGAGGGATCAGAATATCCGGGCACGAGCATATTCCTCGTCGAGCGCGTTAATAAACGGACGAACACGCGCGCGCTACCGGAAGTCGAGCGTGCGCGTAAGCGTCTCCCGTTCGGGTTCAAAGGTTACGTAAACGTTCGATCGTGGACGGTGTCGTTGATACCGTGCTTAGACATGCAGTGCCCTGCTCGATTCTCCACTTTTTGCCGAATACCTGTCTGCTAGAAATTCACACCTTTATGGTGACTACAATGGAAGATGGAAGATGTGTCAAAAGCTGTGATGTGAAAAATCTTGGTACCGTTTGAAGATGTTAGGTCAAGACTGCTGCAAGTCAATATGAGTAGACCTAACTTAATCCTCTTCTGATGCAGGTAGATAAGTTAGTGTCCTATTACCTGCTTACCTGATACTA